TGTTATGGGATGGGATATGAAGAGACATTGTGTATTAGATGGAGGGTTAAAAATAGAAAAATATGAACAAAATATCTAAAACGACATTTATTTTATTAATGATCAATTAAGCCAAAATGACAAATAATAAAAATAGGAGGGAGTATATATTATTATATATTTTATTATGACACATGTTACTTGTGCGGCTTATATGTGTTATATTATAATAAATTTTCTACCTCATAACATATAACTACATTAAACATAAATATATTAATTGATAAATAATTTTATTTTTTAATTAATTTTAATAAATAATTTTGTTATTATTATAAAGATAAATATAATTTATTTATTTTATATACAATATGGATGTCAAATCGAAGCTCATCAAAAGATTATTAATTTGATATATTATATATGTAAAACCGATAAGAAATACAAAAGTTATCAACTTTTAAAATATATTTGCAATTTAATGATTATAATAGGAAATGATATTAAAATACAATTAATACAAATTTTAACTTATATCAAGCCTAACTCCAAAACATGATAAAATAGGATTCCAAGGAACCAAAGTTTGCCAATTGCCATGTAGGCTCAGCGCATTCTGAAATTATATATAGAGGGGATTTGATCATGTGTATTTGCACATATATAAAACACGTTTTTGTTTGTATTTATTAATTAGACATTGTTATAGTTTATTTTACCGGAGTAGAATCGAAAGATTCAAACACCGGGTCGTGTCTCTCGAGGAAGGTTAGCCGGACTAAGTCGTACGTTTATTCAATCACAAAAAAGGAAAATTATTATAAACACTCTAATTCGATTTGTAGGTTTTGATTACAACTAATGAAATGGAAATGAGCTATTTAAATGTAGCAACTAGAAAACACAATTCAAGAAGATAAATGTAGTTCAAATATAAATAAACGAGCTAGGGTATCGGGGATAATCGCGTCCGGTTCTAAACACATTTAACGGGCACTCGACAATTCGGTTAAGAGGCTCGACTAATCAACTCATTTTGCGGCTCATCCTCAATAACTTTTCGTAACATGCGAATAAACATAAACGAGCGAATCAACGAAATAATTAATACATAGACAATATGTCTCTGAACATGTCTACCTCATACGAGCCTAGTTCTACGACTTCTCCCCTATCGGTTCCAAAAGTCGCTAAATAAATTAGAAGAGATTTAATCAACTAATCATGTCGGATCAACGAACCCTAACTCAACAAATCAATATCCAATTGTTTCCAATCGCAAGATCGATGTGTCACCCTTCAATTATATCAATCAATCAAGCTCAAGTTTATAAATTCCTAATCAAACAACTCGCACAAAATTGAGCAATCGACATACTCATAAATGTGAACGAACCGGAGCAATTATCCCCTAACCCCTAGCTAATGGATTAGCCGCACATTGTCATTCCAACACAAGCATTCAAATCAATTAAAGCCATCAACATAATCATAAACACAATGAAAAAGAGAACTTACTATTGAAATGAACTCCAATGTCAATAACAAGTACAAGCCAAATCCAATCCAAAGTCTGAAAGTGTTGCTTCTCCAAAATAAGAAAAACTAAAGAAAAACTTAAGAAAAAATGGTGAAGAAGAAGACGAAGAGAGATGAAAAGTGATGTAGAGAATGAGGAATAATGGATGGAATCCTCTTCTTGGGCACAAAAACCCCCTATTCCCGCTCAATGGTCGACAAAAGACCCCAAAAACCCGAGCACAATGTCCCAAAACGAGGAAAAAAACAAATTCTGCACTTTCAGGCCTCCGCGGCCGCGGCGAAGATCAGCTCCGCGGCCGCGACATGCTCCGCAGCCGTGACTTCCGAGCGCAGAAAAATCCTCGCGGACTGCAGTGCGCGGCTTCACATTTTGGGCTCGTCCAAACTTGGAATTGAGTTCTGTTTTTTCCTACGTGTCGCTAACGAACCCCTCTATTCAATGGTGCTTACATGGCCAAATTATTCTTGAAATATTATTCTCCAAAAGCTTATGACCAGCACACTAAAAACGTGTTTCGCGCGACTTCGCGTTTTGGGCCCGTTCGGACTCGTCCAAGCTTGAAATTGAGTTCTGCTTTTTCCCACATGTCATTAACGAACCCTTCTATGCAACCATGATTGCCCAGTCGATGTTCGGGCTAAATCAATTTCTCACGGGGCTTTCGACCTGCACACCAAAAACGAAGAAAAACCAGAAAAACGCACGAAAAACACCTAAAGACTCAAAATGAAGGAAAACACATAATCAAACACGAAACGGACTAGAAACGAAAGAAACGACCTAAAACGGGGGGAAAAGAAAAGCAAAATAAGCAAAAAAAAAAATACAACAAAAATAGGACAAACAGACATGTACTTTTATCATATAAAAATTATTACTTTTTCTTAAGTTATTTTTATCATTCAAAATTAATTGAGGTTTAAATTTTATTTTAACCATGCAACGTTTACATTAGTAACATGAATAAAATAATTTATATATTTGTGGTATATTAAGAAAATTAACATAAATAAAAAAAAATTATTGGTGTTTCTGATTTTTAGGAAAAAAATATGTGTCAATCATATTTTTCTTCCAGCAATGCAACCAAATATAGCGGTTATAACTCTGAATGTGCCAATCAACTTTAAGTTCCAACATTAGCTGTTACACATTTAAATATTTTGCTACCAAATTTAGAATTAATTTAGTAACTGATCCAAAAAACAATATATATATATATATATATATATATATATATTAAGGTGTAACAATTTTAGCAGATTAGTGAGTAATTAATTAAAAAAAAATATAACTCCTTTTGAAGGGAAATGAAAATAGGTTTTATTAAATGGTTTATTAAATACATCAGCTAGTAATTATATATATATAGATTCTTTTATACCTTTTAGTTGCATTTCTAATAATAATAACAAGTAGAATACCCGTGCAGTACACGGATACTTGTTAAATAAATTATATTTTAAATTGAATAATATTAGCAACAAAAATTATTATAGTTTTTAAATATTCTTTTGAAAAATATATTATTATTTATATTTAAATTGGCACCATTACTTACATGACTTATTATCTTATATTATACTCCCTCTTATTTTTAATAAGTGTCTTTTTGAGAAGTTGCACAATAATTAAGAATATTTTTTTTGTCAATAATAACCCTCACTAATGAAGATAGAGATGGATGTTTTGAGAAAAAATGAAAAGTGAATATGAAAAGACGCAGTGTAATTATTAGCTATAGTAATTATTAGCTATACGAGGGTAATAATGGAAAAATACATTCAAAAGATCCAAAACGTCATTTATTTAGTTAATTGTTGATAAAACTAAAATGACATTTAAAAAAAATAGGATGTAGTATATTTTTCAAATTTATATCAGATAACTACTTTGTAGTTAAGTTAGTTTAAATAATTATATTTTTCAAATTCATATTAATAGATAATTTAATTTCAATTATAAATAAAAATAAAACTATTTAATTATTTTATATATATAATATAGATGTCAAAGCAAAGTTCATGAAGTCATGATTAATTTCATATATTGTAAATAAATTTGAATATATATGTATAAAAATTTGATACATTAATCATTTTAATTGTAAAATCCAATTTGGAAAATTGAGAGATTCAAAACAAATTATAGGGCTATATTAGTCATATAAAAACTGTAAGTAAATTTACAAAACAAATTAAAGGTTCTATTAGTCAAAATATTATGGAATAACTCAAGTTAGCTTTTTAATATTTATGGAATGTCCGAACCGAACCTAAAATTATAGATTTAAAATAACATTATTTTGTATCCAAACCAAATTACGAAGCATGATTTTTCGCCAAGTAAGATTCCGAAGCGAGCGAGCCTGCCACTAAGGCTCAACCATTCTAGATTATATATAGGGGATAATAATAATAAATCAATGGCTACAAAGACTGAATCAGATCAGTCCTGACAACCGATAACCTTTAAAATCTTAAGTTTATAATTGAAATTTGTAGTGAGATTTCGTATAAAGTTGTTATGTATAGGGATGAGCAAAACCAAGTCGAAACCGAAAAACCGAACCGAACTGATGTATTTGGTGCGGTGCGGTTCGGTTTTTCAAAGGTTCGGTTTTCGGTGCGGTTAAAAATTTGAAAAACCGCACAAATTTCGGTGCGGTTCGGCTTTTTGTTTAAAGGGTGCCGGTTTAATCGAACCGCACCGAATATGCTTTTTTTTTTAAACAATATGTTAACATGTTTGTATTGTACATATACATGCTCATTTTGGGCCTTTGGTTTGAGATTACTAACATTAACAATAAATAATAGAGTAATTTACATCCCTTACTATTAGTTATGATATATATTACACTTATATACCAATTATAATCTTATTTATAAAATTACAAAACAAGCTTAAAATATTTACACTAATACCTAAGATTCTAAATGCTGCATGTAACCGTTATTAAGGAAATATAGGGGCAATCTAAATGCAATTGGATAATTAATTGAAATCAAATATCATTACCAAAAAAAACGGAACACCCTCTCTCTGTTATATCTCTCCTACGTTCACCCATCTCTCTGCAAAAAAAACCCTCTTTTATTTTTCATATCTGTTCGGAGGAGGAGGAGCCGGATCTTTCATTGGCCCGAGCTGCTATTTGCTGCTTCTTGTCGCCGGTGGCCGGTGACCGGAACAGGCGCGACGGCGAAGGTCGGATCGAACAGGATTGCTACTCGCTGGACAAAGTCGAGCGGCTGAGGAGGATCGACGGAACTCGCTGCTCGCCACGGCTCCTTCTCGACTCCCGGCGTGGATTGATAATTCCCCGACGGAGGGTGACGTGACCTCAGGTGCGATGGCGGACGGAACCTGCTACACGGTCGACTGCTGCTATCTCGTCGATGGAGGAAGATGAGGGACGGGATTTGCCACCCGCTGGGAAGAGTCACGCGTCAGTGGAGAAGGATGAAGACGATTGATGGAGAAGGACGCACGCGAAGAAGAAAGCTGCGAAGGAACAAGAATCTTTGGAGAAGGAAGAAGATTTGAGATGAGAGGCGTGTTTGGGATGAGAAGGAAGAAGATTGAATTAATCGGGTATATGTTATGTATATATAGGGTATATGTTCTGTATAATATAAGGGCTACCTTATTTGTATGTATGGTTTATATTGACAAAGCATAAACTGATGATTTTTTTTTTGTATATGTATGGTTTATACTCGGTATATTTTCAGTATTTTTTCTCATGACATTAATAGGAAGACGTTCGATAGTATGTAAAAGTTAAAAATTTTCGGTATATTATCAATATCTTTTCGGTATATTTTCTCATGGCATTAACAGGAAGACGTTCGACAGTATATTATCAGTATATTCTCGGTATATTTTCTCATGACATTAACAGGAAGACGTTCGACGGGTATATATGTACAGTATATTTGCAGTATATTTGTTTGTATATGGAATATAAGTAACTTATGTCTAAAAGTAAAAAAAAATAAAAAAAAAATAAAGAAGACATAATTTTTTGATGGACGACATGTTCTTCATTGTAACATATACTGAATATATACCAACATAAACGCAAAATATACCACCTGACGGCTGCGTGAATTACAAATGTACAAACTGCGTGAATTAAGGAATTAAATGAGTCAGTTATTATTTTTCATTTCTCTCTCTTAATCAAGCCCACAAAAAGGGGGATGGAAGTTGAATGGATATGGTAACTTACTTTAGGCATTAATGTAGTTATGTATTACATATTAGGTAGAGATGTAATTATTTGTTTATGAATTGTGTTTTTGCAATATTTTTAAAATCTTGTAGGATAGATGAAAACATTACATTAAAATCTAATTTCTTGCCCTAGTTTCTCGCTTTGAGTTCAAATTTTGGGCCTTTGGTTCATTAGATGATGATGAGGATGTAGCTTCATTTTTATTTTGGGTGCTTTTTTCTTTCTTTTTATTAAAAAAAAAAAATTTGCGGTTAACTGAAACCGCACCGAACCGAACCGAACCGAAAATTTCGGTGCGGTTTTGGTTCAGTTTTTGTACCAGTTTCGGTGCGGTTCGGTTTGAGTAAATAAATATTTTTGGTTTTCGGTTCGGTGCGATTTTGCACCGAACCGCACCATGCTCACCCCTAGACTTATGTATTAGAGCACCCACAATGCTTTGGGTCTCTTCCAAAAAGTTCACATGCCACATAGGAAATAAACTTAGTCTATAAAAAATGCTTTCTAATGCAATTAAAAGTGGACATAGTCTAGCTTATGTGACAATAAAAAAAAGAGACTAAGTCCATACTTGGGTCTATTTTGGACCCAAGTACAAACCCAAACAATCATCATTTATTCTTAATTTAATTTTTCTTTTAATAAAGAAAACAAATTAGAGCATTTTTATTGGTTGATATGTATGCTAGACCTAGTGTTTTTATTTTTGCATTGCAAAGTTTTTGAGTTTTTTTATTTGAGTTTGTCTATGTCATTTAAAACTCAAGTCCAATTATATGTCACATGTAAAAAAGAGACCCAAAACAAGCATTGTGATTGTGGGTGTTATGAGATCTCAACAAATTTTAAAAAATCTGTTAGTTAATTTCATTGTCAAATAATTCCATACGCTAAAAGCGCTAATTGAAAGACCTTCAAGTGTTTTTCTTCTCCTAAACACACACGTTTTCAATAATAGGGCGGGAGTGAAAAATATTTTATAAAACCTTCTATTTTCTCTCTTTTTCGGATCTCTCTCCTCATTCACTTCTCCACGTCTCTGCAACTAAAGGTAAAAATTCCTATTTCTTTTTCTTCCACCCAATTTCATCTTCTTATCGGGCCCTTACATTTCCCCATTTCTCTTTGAAGATTGTTTCACAAAATGCACAATGCACGAAATCTGTATAGAAATATTAAAAGCGAGTGCTTATTCACATGTTTCGTTTTTCGATCTGCGACATTTCCCGGCAATTCGATCTGATTTTTGATTTTTTCTCCGTAGATTGCGTAGCATTTTTAAGGAAGTTGTTTATTGATTAAGCGTAGAGGGGTAAAGGAAGAAGAAAAAGAAATGGGTTACATTGGAGCACATGGAGTCGCGGCCTTACATAGGCACAAGTACAGTGGAGTGGATCACTCGTTGGTGGCCAAATATGTGTTGCAGCCTTTCTGGACTCGATGTGTTAGTTTTTTCCCTCTTTGGATGCCGTAAGTGTAATCTTTTCATTTCCCCCCTCTTATCTTTTGTTCTTGACAGTATTTGGATGCTGTTCTTCATATTATGTTGGATGCTACTGAGGCATTGACTATCACGTTATTGTTTGTTTCTTTTGAGCTGTGACTCTGTTTGCTGAACTTGTATTTTGGGTTGGACTTTTGGGGTTTTCACGTTAGAGAAATTCTGAGTTTATATGGATGCTCACAAGTCACAAGGTGTGAAGAAGGCTAGAATTTATGATTTGAAAGTCCAAGTTCAAAACTTTGATCAGAGGGTTCTTCCATTCTGGATGAACAATCGACATATGCAAACGTTTGAGAAGAAATAGCTACTTCAGTTGCAAGGTTGTTTGGCAAAGGCAATAGACACTATGTAAATAGTAGGGCCGTTAATATATTATTCAGATATTATAAATTTTAGGGTGGGGGTTGGTAAAGAGAATTTGTAGAACCGGAAAGATTGAAAAACCGTGGTAGAAGCTACGAGAATGGCCATGGAGCACCTTTTGTTCCAGCCGTGCACTACGATGAAAGTGGCTTCTCTTATACTTCAGTAACAGGAGAGATAATACTCTCGGTAAATGCTCAACGGTAAGTCTTCAAGACTCCTTGGAGCCGGACCCAATCACTGCTTCTAAAGTTGGTTTTGAAGCTTATAACCTTGCCAATATTTCAAGTTGAGGACCGACCCGAAGCTCTATCTGATCTGCTCCACTTGGTCGATGAACTCTTCCTGCTTCCTCCCTTGGTGGATAAGTCAAAAACCTTGCTTGTTACGACTCCCGGAATTTCATCGTCTTCTGAGCCGTTCTAAAGGCACCCATCGCCTGTTAACACCCCGGGTGAGCTCCGTTGGGTATGAACTCTCCAATTGGTTTCTCCTTCTTCTTCGCTTCTTCCGTCCTTTCGTTCTCATCTTCCCTTCTTTCAGACTTTCGCTTTCAAGCCCTAATCTCAAGCCCCGTCATCAATAGGCCCGTATCCCCGCTTTGAATCAAGATAACTAGACTCGTGCTCGCTTTGAGTAGACCACAGGAAGACTGAACTCAAGATCAACGAAAGCGTGCTCGCTGCTTTTCGAATCTTTGGGTTCTCCCGGAGACGAAAACCCACTTTGTCTTGTCCTGTAGTGGTCTAGCCCTGCTTCTTGTTCCGCCCCTGCAGATAGATACCCATATTTATTGGATTCGTCTTCCGCTTTAAACATTGGAGCACTTCCTAAAGCCAAAACTTGGTTTGTCACACTCGCTTCGGTGGGTGTAAACTCACCACTGTAGCTCGAACTTTAAGACACTGTAGCAGCAGTCGGCACTAATGCCAGGTGCAAGAAATACGCCCTTTCCAAGCATCCTTGTCGTCATCTGTTGTCTGAATCGAAGGCACAGGCCTTTCAAGCGGAGAAGAGTCTATTAGAGGGGCCAATCCGTTCTAGGAAGAGGCCCCGGTTCAGTGTCGCGGTCAGTTTCATTGTTTTGATGTCCGAAGTAGGTCTTGTTCTTCTGGGATTTGAGAAAAAGTAGGGATTTCCTACGTTTGATTAATATTTTGAACTGCTAAAAGCACTGGATCTCCCATTGCTGGGAAGGGAACTAAACTATTACCACCTATGGATCGTACCTATTGGATTGATCTTTCGATAGAAAGTATTCGCTCGGCTGGATCAACATAAGCTTATCGTAGGACTGCACTTGGGGAGGCTTACCCCTGGAACGCAACTACAAACGGCCCGGGTGATGAAACTGAATGAAGTTAGTCATTCTGCTTGTATCGACTTCCGTCTGTTCAATACCGATACCTGTCATATTCCATAGCTGTTCTTTCGTCTTCTTTAAAGCTAAAGCTAGCCTTTTAAGAAGAAAGAGAAGCTGGGCCCAGGTAAGGGTCTATTTTACATGATTCTAAATACGATATTATTAAGTCTGTAAGGAAAGGTGGGACAAATGACAAAGCTCTACTTCGGTCCATCCACCTCTTTCTTTTACAGGGCTGGAAAGGGCCAATACGCTTGGCTATAGGAATAGGAGGTGGGCTATCTAACTGATGTAAACAAAGACTATTACAGATGGATTGTAGCTGTGAGGTTCTCGGTGGTGAGTTGCCTTCCACTTAGTTGGAAGCGGTGTGCTACAAAACTAGGAGATGGGGGGGACCGGCTGCTTAGCTTCCGCTTAACTTGTAAGAAGGCTCGCTGCTATTTAAGGGGCTCATCAGAGCTTGTAAGAATATGTATGTTACTTATCGACCAGGATAAGGATATACGGTTGACTCCACCAATAGGGCTAGGAAGCGTGAGGCTTATATATTTTATCATATTTCGATAAGGTGTATCAAGGGGCTAGCCTTTGATCATCTCATAACGTGGATTTCATACCATAGTTTGTGTTTGTTTCACCGGCTTCATTTAATTTGTACTGATTCTCTTTCTGTTTCCTTTTGTGCATGGACTTGGACGTTTCAGACCAAATTTGGTAATCTTTTTGAATACTAGTTTAAATGACTTTTGAATAATTGTTGTAATTGTCCATAATCTTTTTCAGTTTAGGGGATCATAAATTTCACTGTATTTATGTCCTTTTCAGATAACACTTACAGGAGCAATGTTTTTGGTTACATCTGCATTACTCGGATATGTGAGTTCTCTCTCCCCTTTCCCCTCCCTCCCCCCTCCCTCTGGTTTGCCTTTCGTATGCTCATGCATGTAATAATACTATTTACAAACACACTGTTCTTCTATCTCTTTGTTTCCCTTGATAAAATTATGTTAGTATTCAAATGCTGCAGGATTGCTCTGTTGTACTCCTGGGGCCTTTATTCGGACTGTTTTCCCTTTTTCCTTTTGACAGTAAAAGATTGTCTCTTTACTTGAATGATCATCAAAATCCTATAAAATTTGTACCGTGTTCAAACGTATCATCTCTAAACTGTGAATTGCTTCTGTGGTTTCAAGTGAGTTAGTAAATTTTGTTTATTAATGAGTTGGTAAGTTTGAAATGTAAATTTTGATAAGGTCCTATTTCACTTTGTGTCACAGTTGTGCTGTTGGTTTCATGTTTGCGTTTGTTGCCGTTTAGATTTACAGTGAGTGGGTTTTGATGTCTTTAGGAGTAGTATCATTTGATAGATTGCGAACACAAACCAGTTTGAAGATGTAGTTTGATAAACAGAATTTATGAATTACATGGATTCTGATTTATAGGACTTGTCAGTTTAGTTCATATGATCATGAAACTTAATATCCGGTTTAATTGGAGCTAGAGCAGGCTTGCATATATCCTGTAACATCCTGCGAGAAGATCATTGTTGTATGATTGAGCAGATTACTATCATATTTGTACCCCAGGTTCTCTTCAATCGCAGTTGATAGTATGAACACTGATACAGTGATTTATCATTTATAATGAAAGTGATTCTTAATGCCTTCTCTTATTGTATCATATTACTTTTGAGACTAATCATAGGAGTTTTGGTACTGCCATCGTGTTGATTTAGAAATCTTTGATTTGACGGTTATTGATAAATCATTCTCTTACTACATACCCAATTCATTAGTATATGTGATTATGTGCTGCAGATATATTCACCTCAACTGGATTCTCCTCCACCTAGATGGGTTCATGTTGCTCATGGTTTATTGCTCTTCTTATATCAGGTAACCTTGGGTTCTGTATGTGCTCTGTTTATTCGGTTCCCAGTGTTCTAAGTCTAATGTCTTCGGTCTGGAACTAATACAATGAGATAGGCTTGAACTTATTTTCTTCTTTTGCTCAGATTTATCTTTTACATCTTCTTGTCCTTGAACCGGGGGGTGGTTGAAGTTGGATACGACATCGATTTCCTATCACTTCTAATAGGATTGTTTGGTTTGTCTAATAAATAGATATTGGAAATTTTGTTTGATTGGTCTGTGTCTTGGGGAATATATTGCGGAATGTGAATGTAGTTTGTACTATAATGATTTGTATACTTCTAAATGTTGTATGTTAAATCTTTATATTACCACTCTATAATTTTTGACATATGCTTGATCAAGAGATTCTGATTGTATTTTTTCTTTCTTATCTGAACTCTAGACTTTTGATGCTGTTGATGGAAAGCAAGCAAGAAGAACAAATTCGTCGAGTCCACTGGGAGAACTTTTTGACCATGGTGATTTCTCCCTTTTAATCAATTTTCATCCTCTGGCTTTTGTTATTGTGTTTCATTTAAGTTCACTTACATACCACTGATGATAACCTTAACTGTTTCTCTGGTTCAACAAAATTACAGGATGTGATGCTCTTGCATGTGCGGTACGTGCTACAATTTTGTATTGCGTGCTAATTATTGTATTGCTTCTGATACTGACTTCACTGTAATTATTTTTCGTTCTTTTCCAGTTTGAAGCCATGGCTTATGGAAGCACTGCCATGTGTGGTGGAAGTGCTTTCTGGTTCTGGTTTATATCAGCAGTCCCTTTCTACTTTGCTACATGGGAACAGTGAGTTTACTTTTGACTGATTCATGTTGCATGGTCTAGAATATCTCATAGTG